GCACCACAGCACCCCGATGACATTCGCGATGGACGAACGCGGCCCAGCACGCGGCCAGGATATGCCGGGCTAGATCAGCACGCGCAGCATCAAGCTGCGCGCAACGCAGCGCGAGGTTCATCGTGTACTCGGACTGGTTGGGAGAGCTCACCAGGCGTCGCGTGAGACGTTGGAGGTTTGGCTCAAGGAGACCGTCCTGGAGCGCACAATCGAGAATGGATTGCGCGCCGAATCAGATCAATCGCGCGATGCGTCGCAAGGCCCCCAGTCCCGCGCAGTGGGTCTTGGAGGCCACAATCCTGAGCTTGACAACCCCCTGTCCGCCGACGCTCCGCGCGCGCCAGCCTCCGAGGCCTTCTTGGAGGTCGGGGCGTCTCAAGAGGCGCCGCAGACCCGCGCGGCAACAGCGACAGCGGCCATCAAGGCGGACTCGACGGAGAGGCTGCGCAGGATCTTCCAGCGCAAGAGGCGCGACACCCACGACGTCGTGAACGTCGGTGAGGAGTGCTACTGCTGGCGCGGTCGGGTCGCTGGCCGACCCCAAGAGCCGCGCCGGAGAGGCCCCGCGAAGGTGTCTCTACGCGAGGACTCGGAGAGCGGACGTCCCAGGGTGCGCTGGATCACGCGCGGAGGGGGCTTGTTGCTTGCAGTCCGGCCTAGATCAGACCCCCCGCGGAGCGCGTCGGCGAGTCCGCGCGACCAGCGAACTCGCGGCAGCCCCGGGCCACTCTGCAGGGGATGCGACGTGGAGGTCTCGTGCAGTTTATCGACGCCAGCCAGCTGCCTAGACCCGCCGACGAGCGCAGAGATGCTGACCCCATGTGAGAACCTGTGCCAGTCCCAGCAGCCGGAGGCGCCCAATCAGCGACGCTAGAACAGGCCATGGCAAGTCTGCTCAGACAACTGCCCACGCAGGGCCCAGCACCACAGGGGGGGGCCGGGACCCGCCGGCCATGAGCCTGCAGCCAAGCGAAGAACCAAGCGATACCAGACAACGACGACACCGACCTCCAGCAGCAGCGAGCCGCGACAGAGGTCTCATCAGAGCCCGCAGCCCCGCTTCGACGTCCGCTGGATTCGGCAGCGAGGATGAGCGAGATGAGGAGAAGCTCGGACGCCGCAGAAAATTTCACCGAGAAGAACATCGATCATGACAATGCGATAGGACGGAGATCCTGGAGGATGTCTTTGTCTGACAGGCGGGTGATCTACCGACCGACTAGACTTGCACCATGGAGACCTGCGAGTTCTATTATGCGACGGGCGAGCTCAGCAATAATAGCATGGATGCTGGAGACAAACTTGCGGGGGCGAAGCGCGTGGAGCTACAGAGCTTCTGTGACGGCCAGGTGTGGGAGCGTGGCAAGGACGGAGTGACGGACCCCGGCATGGTACTTCGGGCGCGCTCCCCACTGGAGTGGACGAGGAACGCAGACGGCAGCGGCCGCGACAAGGCGCGGTCGGTTCTTCTAGGCTTTCGGGACCCAGATGCGATTGCAGGGAAGTTGGGTAAATCCTCTCTGACCATGGCCAGACTGGAGCAGGACGTTCATTGCGCTGTTCGCTCGCATCCATGGATGGGCCCTTGTCCCGTCGATGCCAGTGCCGCTTTTTCGGGGCAAGCGCTCGGGCCGCGGTATTTCAGCAATGCGCGCAGGAAGCTCGGCTGCCAGCCAGGTGCCAGGATGAAGCTGCTCATGAGCACGCATGGCATGAGCGGCGCGCCGAGGCTCTGCGAGGAGGCTACCGGCCGCATGATCGGATGCGCCTTCGCGGATCACTCGCCAGGCCCGCGCCTTTCTCCTGAGTTACCGCGTGGACAGGGGCAAGACCCCACGGCGCCTGACGGGGCCATCGGGCTGCGCGTGGATGGCATCCTGGGAGGAAGCAGCGACGAGAAGGGCGAGGCCTGCTTCGTCGCGTGGGAGGACCCGACCACGCGCACATTCGACGCGGCAGGCGACGCGTCTATGGATTTGTGGGAACCAGCCAGCTTGACAGCCAACGGCGACGTCCAGATGAGCTGCGGAGCCTACATCAAGTCGCTCAAGCCGGTCACCTTGACGAAGAACCTAGCGAGCGACCGCAAGCTGGCCATCGCCGACTGTGAGCGCCGACAGTTTTGAGGATTGGGGGGCTCGGCGTGGCCCAGCAACCAGGCGGCGCCCCACTTGCAGTGCGGCCTGGGGCAGGGTGCCATCAACGGCGGCACCATTATGCAGGACCTAGTGGAGGCTGACAAGTTGTTCCGGTTCGCGACGGCGAACAGCGACGCGTGCTGGTTCTTTCCCAACATTCGCGGCGACCCCGACGAGGTGGCGATCGTGCGCATGGCGGGCGCGGCGCGGGCAGTTTGGCGAGATGGGAGCTCGCGGATGGGCCGCCTCATCTCGGCGGCGAACGCGAGCGCGCTGACCGGCAAGACCGTCGAGCGCGCGGTTATTGACTGGCGCTCTTGGAGGCTTCCACTGGCGATCAGATCCCCCTTGGCGCGCGAGGCTCGGGCCGCAGCCGGCGGGGTGGAGTGGGCGCTCGAGCAGGTGAAGGCTCGCTGCAGCCTGATGGTCGCCCCGACGAGGGGCCCGAAGTTGAACGGTGCCATGGCGGTTCTGGGCAGGAGCGGCATCGCGGTGGACGCCGAGGCTGTCTGCGACGCAGCCCAGAAGCGCCGCGTGCGCAACTTCGATGGCGAGCGGACGGGCACCGAGGCACAGGTGCCGCAGGGGCGCGCGACAGCCAGCGCGACGGGCTGGCACCAGGTCATCTTGGAGCGATAGTTCGCCGACGGACTCGCCAAGCTGGCAGCTCGACAGTTGCTAGCCGACCGTCTGAGGACTGGAACCATCAGTTTAACATTCGATGGCCGTTCCGGGGCAACAGAAGGATAAGGAGACAGCCAAGGGCTGACAGGCGGAAGCCGAGAGGTTCGCTGAATCCAAACCGAAGGCGGCTGCGACGACGACGGCGGCCACGACGTCCTTGCGCGCAGCAGAAGACAAGTTAATATCAGTTAATATCTACACCAACAAGTCTACCGACGCTCTGGTGGAGCTCGCGGTGGGCCGCAGTCCGACGGTTGCGATGATGATTCCGTTCGGTCTGCGTCTAAGGATGTTGTTTTTTAATGACAGCGGTTGTCTTGCAATGCGTGTTCGCGTGTTCAGCGGCGCGCGGGGGCGCGACTGGGAGGGCGCGCTCCGAGGCGAAGCCAGGATGCGCTACGCGGCGTGCGACTCCCGAGATTCTTCCATCATTCAAGCAATAGAAGGAGATATTACCCCACACTGTCCAGAAGCAGAAGAGAATCATACCTGATCGCCGTCAAGTGGGGCGTCGGCGCGCAGGGCCCAGCGAGTTTCAACGCAGTTGGCGTGCCGAAAGGAGCTCAAGGGAGAGAATTCGCCTGCGGCACAGGGTTTCCGCAGAGGCTGGGAGGTTTCACGCGAGCTGCACGCGGCGCGGCGGAAGCCGCGCGATGAAGCATGGCGCCCAGGCCAATAAACCTTCGCATCTACTTACAGCATGGTGTCCAGAGTGTGTCTTTCAGTTCTCGCAGGGCAATGACCTCTTTGAGCAGAGGTTCAATTCGCGACGCGAGTTGGCGCCGCTTTCTCTCGAGCGAGGGCGCGGTGTGTTTTGTGTTGCAGCGATTGATGTTGCATGCGCTGCGGGTCAGAGTATAACAGGTATGCGCTGTCTTTTTCCCATAAGCGCTCCGCGCACTGTCTTTCGGAGGTGTTCCAGAGGCTTTTTCTGGCGCGCGTGTTCGACGATGCCCCTCCCCAAAACAGCTAGCAGCAGTAACGTGATGTACTTGAGCAGACGGATACCAATCCCATTGCCGCTTGGGCTCGGGAGGTCTCTCGACTGACCTGAAAGATTGCCATCGCCGCCCCTCGCCCGTAGCACGAGCGCGAGGGCGCGCGCCGAGGAGAAGTCAGCCAAGTTTTGTTTTCCGATTTCGAGCCGAACGCGATCGAGGACTCAGACTTCGACCGATTGGCATGTGCCGTCGCTACCGTGAACCACGCTGGACCTTGCAGAATGTGGTTTGATCCAGCACGACCGTAGGCCCAGTACGGTTCAAGTGCCTGCCCATATGGGGCTGGCTAACAATTCTTAACGGTCCCCACGACGACTTTCCAGGAGTTTCTTCCTCACCCTGGTTTGCATATCCTACTCTCTATCCCTTCTTCTCTCGCTCTTACTCAAAGCCCCCATATACCTGACGTCGCAACTAAAATCAGAACATTGAAATATGAGCGGAGCCTTCGACTCCATCTTTCTGCGGCACCCCTCGACCCATATCGATCCGCGAAGATCCTGGGGTCGGTCACCAAAACATGCGGCGCCCAGGTCTCAGGCCCTACTGTTTCTGGCGCAGGGCCTTGCACGACACAGTTGCCAAGGGAACTGATATACCTCGTGGACCTCGAGAGGTTGCGGGGTTGTACCCCCGTTCATGCCCCCGTGGGCCCCTGACGTGTCCACTCATCCCCTCCCCGGGGGACTTTGGCAGCTGATACACGAAAAGTCCAGACCCCCGCCGATGCGTTTTCCAATCCGCGGCACCAAGGTCCCCGGATCCGTGGTTGTCGGTCCCACGGCCTGGTAAAGGGATCCCAAAGGGCCGAAATCCGGGAAAATCTGGCGTTTGAGAGGCACCATTTCGTTGGAGACTATGGGATATGAAGCGTTGATTTAGGTCTCCCAAATGGGTCCAATCAGATGGGGCCGAGGGGTCGCCTCACATCGCCGACGCATCGGCGACGCGGCTCGCCTCGCATCGCCGATGCATCGGCGATGCGGCGCGGTCTTCCGACCCCGCCCATATCCGTTCGGACCCCATCTGGGAGGCCTAGAAGGAGAGGAGAGAGGGAAGAGGGATGGAAGAGGGAGGGAGGGAGGAAGAGGGAGGAAACGGGAGGTAATGACGAGGTCCGACGCCATCTGCTCGGACCTCATGTGGGAGGCTTCGAGGGTTGCCTCCCGGGTCCCAGGTTCCACGGGCGCGCGCCCGACTCCCACGCCGCCTACGGTGACTGCGCCGTGCGCGGCAGGCCGCACCCCGGGCTGCCCTGGTCACCCCGCGCGTCCCGCGGTCGCTCCGCGAGGGGTTCGGGCCCGCGGCCTCGCAGGGCTCGGGGGAGAGAGCAGGTCAGGAACGAAAGAAGGACGCGCACGTGCATGAATCCACGTTGGTTGGGCCCTATTTCCGTATTCGTGTGCGAGGCTGGGCGCGTACGTCCGTTGTGCCCCAACAGGGGCCGCCACGAGGGCGCCGAGTTTCGCGACTCTTCCCTCGCCTTCTGTTCTTTTTCGCCTTCCTGCCTCAATTTGCTCCCAGTGTGCCCCACCGCTTTCTGACAGGCGTCTGACTGTCTTGGACCATCTGGCGTCCGCGGATTTGAAGAGTTTGCTAGTGCTAAGGCCTTACGGCCGGTGACGCCGACCCTGGATGCCTCGGCCCTTGACGGAAATGGGAGGAAGCGGGCGGGCCATGAGCGCCGAGAGGGTGGCATTCTGACCCGGGACCACTGCCCGGGGCCCCCCGGGAACCCCCCCGTAGGAGGGAAAAAGCGGGTCATGGGCCCTGGGAGTTTGCACTCATGGTATTCTGACCCGGGACCCCCCCCCCCCGGGACCACCCCCCGGGACCCTCCCCCGGGACCCCCCCCCCGCGGGGAAGGGGTCAAAGGGGAGAGGTCCTTCGACTCAATGACAATGTTGCTTAATTTCGCTGTGTGGATGGCTCGTGGATTTCGCTGTGGCTGGCGTGCTTGAGGACGAGGGCCCAAGGAAAGGGTGCAGCGGCGACGGACTCAGGGGAAGGAGGGGACGCGATGGCGGCGGCGACGCGAGGGCGGCAGCGACGGCGATGGCGGCCAGCCCCTGTCACACGCCGACAGGGTCGGCGGATTTGCAATTTCTCATCCTCGTCCTCTTCGCCCTCCTCGTCTCGAGTTCGCGAAAATCTTCGCACTTCGAGAAGCGCGAAGTGCCAATAGTAACATAGCTGCACTTGGAGAAGGGCCCCTCCGCCTGCCACCGGGGCCGCCTCCCCTCCGGGGATCCTGGCGCGGCAATTGTTCCCCACAGCGACGATCTTGCCCTTGTTTTGGGCCCCGGGCCGTCGCGGATCGACCCGTCTCGGAAAACGCTGCAGGAAGACGGAGTCTAGGGCTTTGGTCGAGTTTTGTCCACGATGTTGCATTGTTTCTCGTGTCGGCTCTCGGGGACTATAGGGCTGGGCCAAAGAGCTTTGGCTCCCGACTGCGAGGACGTGCCGCGAAAAAGGATACAAAGTACACTCTCCCCACCGTGGGTGTGCTCTTCTGCTCCCCATACAGGGCGTCCGACGTTGTGTTTTTTTCTGCAGCAGGCAGAGATCGTGACGGCCAGTTCTTGTTCGACGCCTTCGGCCTCTCGGGGGGGGGGGGGGCGGGCGCGTCCTTGCCCCAGGGCCAGTAGAAGAGCTTTCTGGGAGAAGGAGCCAGCCCCAGGGAAGGGGTCCAGACCGTCGGGGCCCCGCGCCATGGCAAAGGCGCAAGATGCGACAATGTGATTTGGTACATCCCGGCGGTTGTCTCCTCGATCTCGTCCTCTTGTGGCAGTTTTCTTGGCCCGGGGCCAGCGGGCATGGGTCCGGGGCCAATCAGCATCCCGAGGGAAAGGGGCGGAGTCTTCTGGGGCCCGCTGACCTGCAAAATCAGGCCGTCGGAGGTTTGGCATCGAGGACCTGCGTGTGCTGCTGTTCCCCTGGAGGCCTCTGGCGGCGGAGGTGGCGCCAGGGAGGTCTCTGGGGATGTCCAGGGACTGCTGGGAAGGAGTCTGCCTTGGCTCGGGAAGGGGGTGTCGAGGAGGGAGGAGGGAGGGAAGGGGGTGTCTGGCTCGGGAAGGGGGTGTCTGGCTCGGGAAGGGGGCGCTGGGAAGCAGGCCAGGGAGGAGGGAGGCGTCTGGCTCGGGAAGGGGGGTGTCGAGGACCAGAGGCCATCGTTTGACGCGCCCACCAACGAGCCATGTTTTGGACGTGCTCGGCCCTCCCTTTGGGCCTCTGAGGATCCACACCCTGGGCAGCTCTGACAGTTAGAGGTCGCGCCCAGGGCCGTTCCTGAAGCCCCGGACCGTCAAAGACGGCTCGGGACGAGAGAGGGCCAGTCGTGGGCAGGGGGTCTGCGAGATCCAGGGGCCGGCGACTGGTAAAGTCACCCCGTCGGCTGTGTAGGTGACAAGCGATGATGCCGCTCTGAGGTCGACGACCACTTCCACCGAGGGAAGATCCTCGATCTTGCTGATGGTGGCCCATGGGGTCTTGGCGTTGTTCCTCTCTGCTCGGTGGCGTTCCGCTGTAATTACCCATGCGGGTGCGCCCGTGCAGCACCAGTCGTGGTGGTCGGTTGCCATTCCAGCCCCTTGTAACAGTTGTTCTGGGTCCAGGAGCTGGCATAATTACCACTACTATCCCCCATTCGTCCCACTTTCTCGTTCCCCCTCCTCCCCTCCCCGATGACCTCCAAGAATTCGTGAGCGCTTCGATTCAAACTCTTCCAACACAAGAACACACGCACACGCATATGTTCCACCCTCCCTCCCGCCTCCTTTCCACAGGGGAGGCCCCCCTATTCTCCTGGAGCTCGCTCTGACCAAGAGCTGGGTCTCTCGAGGGATCCACTCGTGGCGACGAGAGGAGGGCCGAAGGCCCAGAAGAAGCGGAGGCGAAGGAGGATGACCTTCCCGGTCTTCGTCATCCACCTCCCTCCTGTCATGCAAGGGTGATGGACATGGCGAAGTTTGGGCCGCACGTCGACGTCGGCGGGTTCGTCGAGGACTACCCCGAGCGGAAGGGCAACTCGTATCGCTGGAGGCTTTGGCCGATCCTCCCAGGCGTGGCGAAACGCCCACCTGCAGAATGTGATGTGATGCTCGATCCAGTGCCGCGCACATTCGCCGTGAAGTTTCGGACAGTTGCATAGATGGAGGATGGCTCCACTTTCGAATGTGGGTTTGTCGTCGCGCAGCTTCGTCTCAAAAGTTTCCAACGTGCACACGGTTGGAGGACGTGTTCTGTTCAACGTGGAAGTTTTGTTCGAGATGCATTCAATTGGTACCGCCATAGGTCTCAAATTGTGCAAGAGTTGTTATTACGGAGGGCGGCTATTGTTTTCGAATCGGCGCTGTCGCTTGGGATTTTCTTCGGTCTTTCGATCAGGCGTCAAAGCTTGCAGAAACATGCATGTTTTGAGAGCGGCTCGTTGTGAGCGTCAGGCTCTCTCTGAACAATTCCTTGTAGGCGATTCACATGCGTTGTTTGTAACTGTTGTGGTCTGTTTGAGCGAATACTCGCGGCGCTATGGAGAGAGCCCTAATGGGAAAGCAACATGGTTGCCACCCTCATACATGTTGCAAGTGTTGAAGACGTATGCTCGCGGCGCTTTCGCGAGCGCCCCATTTTGCAAGGGATTTGTGTTCCATCCTGTAACTGGTGCAAGCTGGGGAGACAATGCGCGCGTTGCTGTGGCGAGAGCTTCGTTTTCAGAGCGGCTCTCCTCCCAGCCGTGCCAGGGGGGCTTGGGGCGAAGCGCGTGGTCAGCCCTACTGGCACGCCTGGGGGTGCGACAGGGGGGGAGTCATCTAGAGGGAAAGGAATTGAGGAGTTGGACGGTGCACCAGAGGCGAAGGAGGAGGCGGATCGACACGTCCGCACCCCAGAGGGGGAGAGGACGAGGGGGAGGGGCGTGGTGAGGGCAAGGAGGAGGTCGATAGGGGAAGCGTGAGGGGCGTGGCGCTCGTGCCTGCACAGGGAGGCGAGCGGATTTCTGCCTGGTGCCGGCGGGAACCAGCCCGTGGACGAATCACTTGTATGAGTCCTTCTACGCTGGATGCATACCTGTAATTTCCCACGATGCGTGCGCAATGCCGCCGCCCCATTTGCTAGAAGCCCTCATGCTGGCACAAACTTCTTGGAGCATTGGCCTTATTGATGAATGTGTCTCGGTGTTGTTCTGGGCGGTTGTCATGGACCTTCCCTCGCATCCTCCACCTCACCATCCTCTTTTGCACTGTGGAACCAGAACACTGGTCGATACGCCATGTACGCAGCCCAGGGGCCCTTGCGGATTGTCCGACGAGTACGAGGTCGCTTTCTTGACCGAGCTGGATTGGCCTTCGTTCTCGATCAAGTGGCCCGAGGCACTTCTCATGCATTCAATGCTTGTGCTTGTCCCCATCCTTCATGTCTTATGATGAGGCCCCGTCCCCTTCCGTCGTGGCTCCTCCTCGTCAGCCTTCCTTCTCTCCTCTTTACCCTCCCAATGCTGCGATTGCCCCGCCTCACCCTCCTCCCTTCTCTGCCATTTTGGCTCAAGGTCTCAAGCCACAATTCGTTGTCATTGTTGTTGTGTCCTTATCTGTGCTACTCTACTTTCTATCCACTTTTCTAAACACACCCCTACATCCTACCGACGAACCGCGGCAGGCTCGCAGCCTTTTTCCGGGCAGGAATGCCGGAGAGATCGAAACGACCAGGTGTCGGCTACACGTAAGAGTGACCCTTGGCCAGAGTGACCTTTAGTGTTGGCCCTAATGGGGTCGGACAGATTTTCTTGAGGAGTGCGCTCGGCCTCGTGTCGGCGCACGCTGCACCAGTCTGCGATCGCATCAGAGCGCGCTTGATTCAGGGTGCGCCCCTCGCAATCGATCGCAACCCATGCACGGTGCATTCTGCCGCGTGCTTCGTTTGGCGAGGGGGGCCCAGTCGAGCGGGCGACATGCTCTCCGCTTTGGGTCTGGTCCCAAATCGTCCTGGAATAACTTTGACTAACTTTTAATAACTTTGCGCATTCCGCGCTTTACACTTCAATTCTTTACTATTGAAAGTTATTCGCGGCCGCGGGGGGGCCAAGTTTCGGCCCGGTTTCGGCCTTGACGCCGGACCCGGTCAGACGTCATCGCGATGCGGCCCGGCAGTGCCAGAACTTTCCGCGGTGGCGCCCGATTACGTCTGGCTTCGCAGAGCCCTCGGGCGGGTGTTCTGGGGCGCCCGGAACGAATTGGCGGATGTCCGCAATTGCCTGCTGGCGCTAGGGATCTATCGAAGCGCGCCCCATCGATCGTTGATGCAATCCGACGGCCTCGGCTTGCACGGTTGCTCCAGGCCCCCACGGGCCCCCCTAAGGCCGCGCACCAAAGGGCACTCTTGCCTAGGGTCCATCTTACGTGCCGCCGAAGGTGGGAAAACCGGATCTTCGCCGCAGAAGCAGAAGGCGAAGGGCAGCAATGACGAGGACTTGATCGATTCCGAGAATGCGGGGGCGGATGAGCTCGTGGTCTCCACCGGCCCTCCTGCATGGTTCACGGACTTCGAGAAGCGCCTGAACGCTCAACTGACGACGATCACACCAGACATCGCCCAAGTCAAGGATAGCATCAAAGAGGCCAGAGAAGAGACAGCAAATGCCTTGAGAGTGGCACGCGACGCACAAGACCGAGTAGAATATGTCGAAGCCGGCATCGAGAACCTTCGGGCCGAGATGGAGACCGAGTGCGTGACGCGGGAGTCCCTCGACAAGGACTTGGACGTCAAGGTCGAGGGGCACATCAGGAAGGCGATGACGACTACGAGGGAGTGCGTGCGCACGCAGGCACACCAACCACCTCCACAGGACCAGCAAGGGCTACAGGTCATCGTGAGGGCCTGAAGGAGGAGGAGGAAGAGAATCACATCATCCAGCATTCCCAACATGTTGTGAAGGAGCACGGGATGCAGAACAGGATTGTGAAAACATTCACGTTCATGGACCCATCAAAAGTTGGAGTTCTGGAATTCACTACAAAGTGTGCCGAGTTGGGCTTCCTTAGGAAGATGAGGGGCCAGGATGCCCAGTGGGAGCGTCAAGAGAAAATGTGGCTTACGAGCAACAGCACATTCGAAAAACGGATGATTGACAATACTCTGGGGCAGGTCAAACATCACCTGATGGAAAAAAGGGTTTGATCAAACATCGATCCGGATATTTTGGGATACGGGGGCCATCAAAATGAAGGGTGTCAAGGTTGCCGAAGTGAAGTAGGACGGAGGATTGGAGACCTACGAGGACTGCAATCAGGTCACGCAGGAAGTGCTGGCGTTCATGGAACGGTGGCAGAATAAGCGCGACTCCAGATGACGACACCGGCAATGACCAGCGACCCCAGTTTCTTATCTGTACCCATTGGAGGACATATCAGAATCGGGCGGTCCGTTCGACACCAGATTTTTTGAACGCGTTTCACCCGTGACCCGCCGTGTTTCCGACGGATTGTGGGGGAACATTGGGATTTCCGATAATTTTTCATCTTATAGCCATTTTGTTCCGATTGCCTTTCAGGACACATTCGGATTCCTAACGCAGGTATCCGAGAAGGCGTACTTGCATGAAGGCGTACCTCTCCGACCACAGCGTGGCCATGACAGCGAACGACGACTCCAAGCACTGGACAATCTACGGCCCCTCGACCCTAGCGCCGACCGGCACGACGGCACCCGCCAACAGCGACCAGCACCATAACCACCATATCGACTTCCACCCATCGACCTTCAGCGCCCACCAGCGCAACATCCTGACCTCCAGCCTCCAGCGCCCGACTCTCCACCTCAACCTCGACCAATCGACGTCCAGCGTCCACCGGCGCAACAGCCTGACTCCAGACTTCCAGCATTACGCCTTCCATCTCCACCCCTAGGCATCGACGCCCAGCGTCCACCAGCGCAAGCATTCGACCACCGACCTCCAGCATCCGAGTTCCCACCTCCACCTCCAATTAGCGCCGCGTCCGCCAGCCCAGCACTCCGACTTCCAGCCTCCAGCGCCCGATGCTTCATTTCTTCCTGTACTGATTAACCTCTGACCTCCACCAGCGCAGCACTCCGACCTCCACGCCCCGACGCCCGACCGTCCAGCCCCACCTCCACCAATCGACCCCCAGAGCCCGCCAGCGCGACGCTCCGACCTCCAGCGTCCGACGTTCCACTTCCACTTCGACCGATCGACCTCCAGCGTCCACCAACGCCGCACTCCAGCCCCGGACTTCCAACATCCGACTCTCCACTTGCCCCCCCGCTTGTCGACTTCGAGCGCCCGCCAGCGCAGCGCTCTGACCTCCCGCGCCCAGCGTCCGACACCGCGCCTCTACCGCAACCAATCGACCGCCAGCCCCCACCAGCGCAATTCACCGACCTCGAGCCTGCAATTTTTAACATTCCACCTCCACTTCGACCTGTCGACATCCAACGCCCACCAGCGCAACGCTCCGACTTCCTCCCTCGGGCATCCCACCCTTCATCTCCACCCCCACTTATCCCCGACTTCCCACCCGCACTTTTACCCATCGACGCCTTGCGCCCACCATTTCCACGCTCCGACCTCCAACGCCAGGCTTCCGACTTTCCGCCTCCACCTCCGCTGGGCCAGCCGACGCCGACCAGCGGCGGCGCCCGCAGGCCGCCAGCAGCGACGCCCGCAGACAACCAGACCGACTGGCATCGACCAACAACACCAACCAACCCAACATACGGACCCCCGCATTTCACCACCACCAGCACCCGTAGGGGGGGGACGAGGACAGCACAGTAACGTAGACAGACGCTTCCCGATTGCGTCCTCGCGTTTTCGACCAGCACAGCTTAATTCAGGCGAAGATCAAAGTGGACACAATCCGTACAAATCGTTGCTACATTTTTTTGCCTTGAGAATTTTCCTCGATCCAAGAGCCACGCTCGCGCCGACCTCGGTCCGACCCCCCGGCGACCCCGCTCTGGCTTCCCCGCGATCCCCAGACGAACCCACGACGACCGTCGCAGCCCGACGCCACCCCCGCATCTCCCTCCCGACCCCCAGGTGGCCCTCCGACGACTCCCCGACGACCCAGCGTTGACCCCCTTGGCGAGCCCAAAGCGACGCCCTGTCGACCTCATGACTCCGCGACGACGCGGCCCGACGCAGCCCGACGCAGCCCGACGCCGCCCTTGCGCGCCTTTCTCAGTCCCCCGACGACAACGACGAATCACCCACTTACATCGATTTCACAGTCATTCACATAAACGCGAGGTCGCCAGAAACAAGTGGCCAGATTGGCGAGTTACTGCATGAGTTACGCGATTTGCATTGGGATGCAATTTTAACCAACGAAACTTGGAGGACGGCGTGACAATAATTATGGGCCACTGCAGACGGACATATGTTTGCAGGGTCTGGCAGCGACCACCGAACGCATGGAGTCGCAATTTTATTCATAAGCGCTGAAACAAACGCGCATGTAAGTTCCAGGCCATCTCTGCAAGACTCGCACCGGCCACAATCTATACAAGGGAAAACCAGATTACAAGTTATTTCATATCGGCATATTCCCCGCACGCAGTATACGCAGACAACCGCGCCCAGCAGCTGCACGACACCGCCGGCGCTCTACTCCGCGAGCCCCGCTCCCGACGCATGCGCACAATCTGGGGTGCCGACTTAAAAGCTCAAGTTGGCTTCGGCCTTCTCCACGGCGATGCCGACTCTGGAGGGCAGCGATTCGACGTTTACAAGCTGATTACCTACACTACAACGGGTGGCAAACCTAGGCAGTATGATGACATATCGGTGGACAGATGCGTACTACCAGCATGTTAGACTGCCGAACTCAGCAACACTGTTGATCTTAACTCTGACCACGAAGCCGTATCATTGCACGTGCGCCTCAACATGCTATAACCCAGTGCACAAACAAAAAAAACTTAGCACGCCCGAGGCCGACCAGACGTTACACCAACCAACAATGGAAGCGCGTGGACCCCGTCGAGTACGACGGCAATTGAGAGCCAAACTACATGGCGACCGTCTAC